CAGACTATAGATTCTTTAGACAGCTTACTATGAATATCAGAACATTTAGGATGACCATATTAGCTTATCCCATCAAGAAAAAGTTAAAATTACCCTCATGATCAGATTAATAGCTCAAAACCCAGACGAAAATGATAAATCAATATAATCCAAATATGTGGTAATGCCCCCAAGTCACTTAGGCACTTCACACCAAAGAAACATCTTCGACTCGAACCTAATATTTACTACTAGTATAAATACTCTCTAGGAATGGAAGGGTACAAGTAACACAAACCGATAGGTAAAAAATCCCTTTTTCCATTGTAGCCAAGTTATTCACAAGTGATCATAAACAGAACAATTTTCCAATTGCATCCAGCTAAAACATTAACTCATACATCTTGTATGCCCTAGGGTCGCGATAACAACCATTTCCTTACAACAATAAACCCAGCAAGTTACCACAAGTGGGGTTTGGGGAGGGTAGTGTGTACGCACACCTTACTGGCAGATAGGCAGTTTCCGATAGACCCTCGGCTAGAGAGTAGATGAAAAGACGCATTGGCAACAAGTAGTAACAACAACAAATATTAAGAAAACCTTAGATAAATTACAACTATTTCCTTATATTTAAAAAAAAATGAAGGAGAAAAAAAACTATAGCCTCTGGTATATCATTTCAAAAATGACAAAAATAAGCTGTGCATAAGTACCATCATGATCCCGAATGGTGGCGTACCGACTATTAGCCAAAGGACATGAGCTGCGGTTGCAAATCCCAGTTACATTATATGGATTTCGGCAAAATATCCCTGTCTCAATTCTGTCAATATTGCAAAAAAGAAGAAAAATTAAATCAAATAAAGACCATATGTCAAACAAATGGTATATGAAGTGAGAATCAAATTAAGAAAAAAAAAAACTGACTTCGCCATGAAGCTGCAATGCTTGTGTCTGATAACTTGCCATATGACCTCATCATGCTGCATCTTTTCTCACTCGTTAACCTAATTTCTGCGCCTCTTTACAACTTAACTGCAGAAAATAACTTAAAACAATGGCGGCTTCTAGGGTTTGTGCGCCTCTTTACAACTTAACTGCAGAAAATAACTTAAAACAATGGCGGCTTCTAGGGAGCCAAAATATGAAGTGTACTATATTGTGATATAATTTATATTTATGTAATTATTAATAAAAGATTTTAAGTTTTAATATTCTTTTAATTTGGTAAAATTATGATTAGGTGAGTTAATATGATAATTTTTTTCTTTCATTAAATTAGATAATATATTTACCTTTTTATCAATTTTATTTTTTCCTTTATGTATAGTCTTTTTTTTTTTCAATTTCTCACGATCTTACTTTCTAATTTTAACTCAGATTCTTTAAATTAATTATTCTTTATTGTCACATTTGATTGATCCATACATCAAAAAGCAAGTTCTTTTATATATCATCTTTTTAAACTAAGAACTTCCCGAGGTAAGTGTCGCAAAATTCAAAAATCGATGAATAATGAACTCACCGCTTTATCATTTTCACTTAATACCATATACTTGTATAGAGGAGAGTTTGATACCATGACGTGTGTCTAACCCACACATCACGTGTTGCGCTCTCACCACTAAATCAAAGCCATATAGTTTTTTTCCAAAATTTTAAAATACGTCGGACAAGAGTTTCCCTGGTCACAAGAATTCTAAAGCACGTTAGGCAAAAATTTGCAACAATTATGTTGATCTTCAGGATTTTGCTACAAATTCTAACGGACCACCAAAATTTTTAAAATTCTAGCTGGAAATAGGACAAACAAAATTTCTAGTGCTTCAAAATTCTGGCGCTGAAAATTTTGGAGATCATAAGAATTTTTAGAGCTTTAAAATTCCGGCGAGCGTGCTTTAAAATTGTAATGTGAAGTTATTTTCTCAACTTTTTTTTTAATGTGATCAAAATATAAACAATGGTTTTGAAAAGGTCCATCCGACGTCATTTATAATATTGGAAGGCAACAATAACAACCATAACAACAATAAAAATTCAGTAAAATCTCACAAATAGAGTCTGTGAATGATACCTTACCGTATCCGAAGGTAATGAGGTTGTTTCCAATAAATCTTGGCTAGGGCCCAAGAACTAATTGGGCTTCATTCAGACTGGTCCATATGAAAGGGTCTAACCCGAGCCCAATCGAAGAGCGTAATGTTTTCCAACGAACAAACAAACAAACAAAAGAAAAATTCTAGAAACATCTTATCTTTTGCAGAAAAACCCCCTGCCAAAGTCTTTCTCTTGAACCTTCTAGGGTTTTGTTATCCTCTTCTTACCAAACTACTCTATATTTTTTCAAACCTAACCACACTCTCACTACCCTCAGTTGAGAAGAAAAAAAAAATCTTTCTTTTTGACTCCGAATCCAGGTACTGTTTTTATTATCATTGCTCAAAATATATTATTTTTAACGTTAATTTTCCTCTTTTAATTTTGAGTTTTGAGGATAATAACCATTTTAATTTTTTGGGGTTTAATTTGATTAAGTGTAGGAAGAAATGGCGACTACTCAGCTAACAGCATCATCAATTTGTGCAAAGGGTTTTGTATCCTTTGAAGGGCTTAGGTCAACTGGTAGTGTAAAGGTCGCATCTTTTGGCCCATTGAAGCAGAATAGCAGGTCTTTTCGTAGTCTTGTTGTTAAGGCTGCCACTACTGTAGCTCCTAAGGTACATAATTTTTTTTTTTTTTTTTCAGTTCCATCATTTTGTTTTAACTGGGATAGCTGAATGACTAGGGAGATTTGGTTTCTTATGTATTTACGCTGCTTCTCGTATTGTGTTAATGAACGTTTTCGCGTGTAGTATGAACATTGGTTTTCTTGTTCATGATTGATTTAGTGCAATTATCAGGTGTTGGTTAGCTAATTTTTGTTTCTTTAAAAGAAAGATCAGGTCTTGGTTCAGTATTTTGCAAGAGTTAGCTGAAGCAAATAACTTCAACTAGAAATGGTTATGGATCGGATAAGTATTGTCTTTTTGTTGGATTGGGTAATTGACCTTTTCATTCTGTTTTGTGGCTTCAATTGTGTTGCAAGTTTGTGACTTGGGTAATTGTGTTGGTTTCGTTCCGTTTTGTTTATACAAGAAATTTTTTTGAGGAAACAATAGTGTTATAGTTGCTAGTTCTGATGTTTCTTGATTTATTGTAACTGTTAGACTTCAGTCAAGTGTGTTTTTGGAATCCAAATATGACTTCACTGAGAATTAAGTCTTATCATCTGGTACATCCTGGCTTCTTATATTTTTATGTTAATGCTGATGCTAGCCCTAGATTTTGAGGCCTAATGAGGTTAGCTTGTGGGTAACCTTAAAGGGACAGCTTGGTGCACAAAGCATCCCTTGTTCATGCAGGGTCCGGAGAAGGGCCGCATCCCAAGGGGTGTGATGTAGGCAGCCTACCCTCACGGCTCGAACCCGTGACCTTATAGGTCATATAGAGCCTACTTTACTGTTGCTCCAAGGCTACCCTTCCCTTGTGCGTAACCTTACACCAATCATATTCTGCTCTTATACATATTAACGAGACACTACGCCCCCCCCCCCCCCCTACCCCGTTAACCCGAAAAAAAGTCTTATTTACTGTAGTA